TAGAAACACAATCAAAAATAATATTTTAAAGTCATTTATTAGTGTGAAAAATGGCCTACAGGCAAGTTAGCACTATGCTGCATCCTCATCTATCTTTAAACATTTAGCTACAACCATTTCATGTGCATAACTTGTCACAACCAGTGAGGTATCTAGGCTATTAAATGGGCAGCATCAATAAATTTTACTACATGAAATGACATTTTATAAAGGTAGGGAGTCACTTTGATAATGTTTTCCATATTTTGCCCTCTCGATTCATTGGTTCATTACTCTAATCAGGTTAGCAGTACTATAAGGCTCCAATGTCAGTGACTTCATGCATTTAACAAAAGTGATCCATATTTAAGCATTTTGTAATAAATAATTGCAAAAAGGAACATTATTGGAGTCATTATTGATGCCAAAATGAACATGGACTGACAGTGTGGGGACATGGTCAGGAAGGCCAACCGTACCTTGTCATGCATCCACAGATGCATCTCAAGCAGGTCCAAGGAGGTGATCCACCCCCGCCCGCTATGCGACATTGGTCAGTCCGCAGTTGGAGTACTGCATCCAGTTCTGGGTGCCGCACTTCAGGAGGGATGAGGCCAGCATCAAGAGGGTCCAGAGGAGGGCCACTCACATCGTCAGGGGGCAGCAGGGCAGGCCCTATGAGGAGAGGCTATGGGACCTGAATCTGTTCAGCCTCCACAAGAGAAGGCTGAGGGGGGATCTAGTGGCCTGTTACAAACTAGTCAGGGGAGACCAGCAGGCACTGGGGGAGTCCCTGTTTCCCCAAGCACTACCAGGAGTGACAAGAATAATGGTCACAAGCTGGCAGAGGGTAGATTCAGGCTAGACATCAGGAGGCGCTACTTCACTGTCAGGGCGGCTAGGATCTGGAACCAACTTCCGAGAGAAGTGGTGCTGGCTCCTACCCTGGGGGGGTCTTTAAAAGGAGGCTAGATGAACAACTTGCCGAGGTCGTCTAACCCCAGTGCTCTTTCCTACCATGGTAGGGGGTCAGACTTGCTCTGCTCATGTCCCTTATGACCCTACCAACTATGAAACTATGAAACATTCTGATATAGCAGCTGTCAGAGCGTGATGAAAGTTAATGAAAACTGGTTTAATGGAGATAGAGTTTATTTGAAATAGCTAAAATGTTCACAGCTTGGATGGGGAAGTAGTCTACATGGGACACAGGCCTCCTACAGGAACTGTGCTGCTAATGAGTGAAACGGTTCTCTTGTTAAGTCAGTAGAATGCATTCAAACCACAAAATAGGTGTCCTGATTTCAGTTATAACAAACCTCAGGGATTTAGGATTATTGTAAGGAAGAGAGGCTGCCCCAGGGCTTTCCAAGCCTGCTCCCACTTTCTGGCTCACAGGCTAATTGCATGTCTTAGTGTACCTGGCCATAACCCAATAGTGGGTCACCCCTGGCCCTTATATCCTTGTCAGGATTCAGCTTTCCCTGCATCGGCTCCCTCTTTCTTTTGGCTGGTTCCTGTAGTTTAGGACCACTGCACTGGACCTGACTTCTGGGTTCTGGCTCTAGACCCTGGGCCTTCTGGCCCCAAACTCTGCCCTGCTCTGGTCTAGTTGCTCTGTCGGAACGCCCTGAGCCTGCCCCACAGGGGTCAAAGCAATTGCATGCCCCTGGGGCACTAATAGGACCTCCACACTACAGAATGCAAACTTAAACATTAGTCCACTGGCTCCAATGTAACTCCCCAGCCCACTGGCTGTCTGCAATCCTCCATTTGAACTGCATCTTCTTCTATATCAGACGCCAATTCCTTTCTTGGCTTTCCCCAGGAAAGCAGGACTTCCCTCTGGCTCTCCTCAACCAGCAGTCTACTGTTAGGGCTCTTTCCTCTTTGGCCTCCAGGACCAGACTGCCCCACCAGGAGCTCAGGGCATGTGTTTATATGGCTCCCTGTCCTGCCCCTTGCTGATCACCTGTGTTCCTGAGTTGTCGCAGGTGTTTTCTGATTTGGCTTACTGCAGCAGCCTCAGGGAGGTTCCTTGTTGCTGGGCTCTGCAGTGTTTCTATGCAAGCTTCTGGCTCCTGATGTTTCCATTGCTGCTGACTCTGTGGTAAGTGTTCACTTGAGTCTTTTCCACCCTTAAATCTACACCTGGGGGCTTGTCTGGCCAGTAGGCCCTGGGGTTTGCTCCCTCTTCTCTGTAAGGGGATAGGGGCTTCATTACAGACCTACTTCTAAAAACATCAAGATAAAACCCTGTGCATGGGAGTGCACCAGAACCCAATGTACAGCAACCATCTCTAAATGCCATAGCTATATTAATGTAATCTGTCACCATGAAATACAGTTTCTAAGGTGGGGATTGGACTAATTAATTCCAGTTCCCCCACCCCCAATTACCCTGCCTCTACCCTTTAAGCCACTATCAGCATTCAACACCCAATTAACCTGCCTCTACCCTTTAAGCCACTATCAGCATAGCTCAGAGTTGAAAATACTGGTTTATTTAAAATTAATTGATGACTATGCTCTACAGTTGTTGTGTTAGAGGAAGAATTTTTGCAATACATTCTTCATTTGGCCTGGCTCCACTCCCTAAGTCTTGGCTCTGAGGATGTTTAGTCAGCACCTTCTTTTCACACAACTTGTGCCAACAAAAGAGGCAACTTATGGTTGGCTGTTGTGGCTCAGTTCTCTGGCTACATGGGTCTCAGCTAATGGATGTCTATTATATAGTGCTTTTGCCTGTCCACAGGTCTTTAATTTTGCAAAAGGAAGGGAAGTATCATTTCCTCCATTTACAGAAACTAGGGAAATGAAGTTACAGAAAAGTGAAATGACCTTGGTCATTTGTAGATCTGGGGATAACCACTAGATCAGGCCACAACCTTGTGAAACAATTTTAATGTGCAGGGTTACTTTTGCAATTGACGTAGTTCCTCTGAACATCTTTTGTGTAAAATGTTTGCGTGTAAATTACCATCTTGTATTTGCAGTGGTACATCCTCTTGTACACACAAATGAGGCATCTAGGCAACTAACTAAAATGAAAACTGAACTCCAGTAATCCACTGTTTGCTTTAATCACCATCTAATTTACAATGAAACATGATTCAAAGGCCTAAACTATATCTTGGTGGTACTCTGACTCAGTCTATGAAATAAAACAAATTTCATTCATTTCAAGTACTTTATTATATCAGTTTGTAGGGTGGGGATGTGAAACTTTCTTGCAGTAGTATTATACAGTTTGGGACTGATTTTTCTCTTTCTTTCATTCTTTGAATCACCAGTTGAAAGAACACCTGAACCCTTAAAGAGATCAAATTTTAATTTTACAATTCATATCTAATTACTAGGTCATTTTATTACTTATGTAGTAAAGAATTTCAGTCTAAGAAAACAAGTTTTATTTCATTCAAGTACTTTATTATATCAGGCTGTTTTACCTCAGTCTTAATCACCAGTAAAAGGAAAAGAAAAAGCATTACCCCAAGGTTTTTGTTCCCTTTTATCAACTGTTTGTAAATCTTTTGGTATGTGATGGGTTGGGACTGTTGTTTCTAAATATCTGGGGAAATGTACAGTTCACTGTAGTATCGAGAGAGCTATACTTGACAGTGAGAGTTTCTGAGTAAGAAAGTTTGTTAGTAAGAGTTTGATAATTAGAGTTGGCCCAGTGGTGAGTTTTGAAAGCCTGGGCAATCACTGGTAGCTATCTGTTGTTGTTTCTATTTTCTAATAAAACTCAAAGAAATTAGATGCACAAATCCCATATTTATCTGAATCCAAGACAACTCTGAATTTAAGACAATCCCCCAATAATTAGATTCTATACATGGATTCTATACAATAAATCTGTTAGAATCTAATTATTGGAGGGTCATCTTACATTCATCCCCCCACTGTTGTGGTGGGGAAAGCAGTGGCAGGGGGTAGATTGTGGAGGGGTAGGTGGTGGCGGAGGCAGTAGCAGGGCTGGTGGTTGGGGAGACAGGGGGTCAGGCAATAAGGGACGTGATAGAGGGGGCAGGTGCACATTTTGACAAAATGAATGCAGTGTTAGGCCCAAGATTTTGCAAACAAGTCTGGAAATTCAATGTTGCATTTCCTATGACTTTTGTAATTCAGGCACATTATGGCACAAATATTAAGTTATTATAATTAACACTATATAGCTTAATAAATGAAATGTAACTTTGTTCAGATGGGCAAGTTGCAGTTGCTGTGGGAACCATGTCTTTGAATACTGTATAGTACTGAATTATACCGGTATTTATAGTGTAATTTAACACTCTGAACTGCACTGAAGGTGATAAAAGCTATAAATATCCTGATTATCTGACGTGTTAGTCACAATATTAATCTTGATTATACCCATTAACTTTCTAATTTTTCAAGAAAACAACCATAGGCAAACAAACAAAAAACCTTCCCAAATGTTGTCAGGAAATGCAGCAGCTTTCACACGTGCTCATCTGTTTTTGTAAAGGATCCAAATACCACCTCAGGGAACATTGATTCCTAGGCAGAAGTGCCAGCGTGAAATATGGAGTGTGACTTGAGCCATGACTATAAAAACGGGAAAGCAGAGTTTTCATAATGGTTGGATCTGAATTCACTTGTGAAATATTCAGGAATCTGCGGGGGGGGTTCCCCCCTCCAGAGGCAGGTTGATGATTGCAAACAGTGTAATCAGCTCTTAGAAGCAGTCTAGCTTGGCATCTACTAATTTGCATCATGTCCTCAGAGGTTTGCTATTCACAAAACATTTGTCCTATTTTCCATTTCGAAGTTTCTAAATTTAGTGCTGGGTCAGTGTTCCACCTAACCCCAGGACTCAAGTTCAAGTGTCCAACTCTGTGTAAGATTACAAGAAATAGTGCAGTACATCATAACAGTGACTGTATCACCCCCTGGATATATTCTGTATGGCCAAATTCTTCTTGAACTTAGTCTTCAGACATGGGCTATATGTAGGAGAGATCTAGGCTTTGGGGCTCAGGTAGATGAAGGATTTTTATTTCCACATCTCAATCTACATTACACAGTAACAGGAACTCTGGGAATTGGGGTGTTCTCCCAGGGTTGCATTAGACCCAAAGGCAGTTTGCTTCATCCACCTTGTTTCTATCTGGGAAAGAACAGTAGATCAACAGAATTATAGATGCATAATCTCTCCTCCCATTTTTCCTCAAGTCTCCTGGCCAAACTGAGGCATAGTTACCTACTGTAGCATAACTGAGGGGGAGTAGCGCAAAAATAAGTGCCACCAGCAGCAAAGCAATCAGCACTGACACACATAATGCTGCTGTTACACCTCTGGCCCCTCTTGCCCCCTCCTCCCTCATATATCACTGCTCCACATATTCTGATGCATTTAGGGCCCTCTCTGGGCCCAAAGAGAGGCAGAAGTAAGATTTTACCCTAGATAATCTGGGTGAGCAGAGATTTTGCACTTCATTCATTGTTTAGCCTAAGCACTGCAGCAAACTGCAAAACAGCACTGCACAGAAAAGGAAAGACATTTGCACATATTAGACTAAAGCATAAACTCATAATCCTTTCACTTGTTTCTCTCTGTATTTTTTGCAGTCTGTCTGCTCATTACTGAAGGCATTTAAGGTTTAAGCAAGGATTTGGATTTCTTCCCAGCCACTTTCTCTTCCTACTTAGTCCTGTAGTGAAGTCATAATGCTGAATGTACATCATCACATTAATTTCTCCTCCTTCCTCTCCAATTCTTCTCATAAACTGTTTCCTTTAGAGAATCTTCTCCATGTCCCTCTCCAAGTTTTGGTATGGCTTCTACAGGGCTCTGACATTGGTCTCCTTTTCTCTTTCCACATTTTAATCTTTGAATGGTTTTATCCACAAAAACTCAACTATCATAACTTTGCAGGTGACTCACAGATCTGTCTACTCTAGATCTGTTGCCTTCTGTTCAAACTAAAATTTTGGGCTGTTTCTCTGATACCTCCTTGTCGATATCCAGTCACCCACTCAGAATCAAAACAGCTTTAACAGATCTCTTAATCTCTCTGCTCCCAAACTGTCTTCAATATTCCTTTTCCAGTCATTGCGGACAACACCAGCATCCTGCCTATCACTGAGGCCTTTAACCTGGCTGTCATTTTTGACTCTCTAGATCCTTACAGCAGTGGAGCTATGTATAAATCCTGCAGAGTCTTCCTGCTTAACATCTCAAAGAAAACATTTCCCATTCATTCACAAAGCTAAAATAGTTTTCCAGGTTCTCATCATCTCATATTCAAAATTACTATAATATTCTTCTCTCTGTCCTTGCAAAAAGAAATCATGCCTTGCTCAGATCCACTCAGAATACTGCTGCAAAAATTATATTCTTAGTTGATCAATTTACTGTCACTTCTCTTTGCAGTTCTTCACTGGCTTCCCCTTCTCTGTTATATTGAACATAAGCTATTTGGCTTCATCTCCAAGGTCTTCCTTGGCCTGTCCACATCCTACCTGTCCACTCTTGATTCAGTGCCAAGAAGTCGACTTCTACCTCTGCCCTGTTCATAAGTCAGACTCCACCACTCACTGGTTATATATTCTAACCCAGCATTTGCTTCTTCTGTGCTGCCCCTTGTACCTAGGAGAAGTTCCAGTAAAAATTCACAAAGCAAGCTAATTATCCCCCTTCAGGTACCTCCTTTAAACTCTCCTTTGCCCTCATGCCTAGAAAAAACTTGACATGAGTCAGGTCAGTGGACTGCTGAGACTAACCATTTCCTATTACATAGACTTGTATTCCCCATCTGTCTGCTAGGACACTGTGTGTCTTCTGTTCTTGTACAACAATAAAGTATAAAAGGTCCTGTGTAGAACACTAAGCTAGTGCATTTATGCTATTCTTGATACCTGAGCTAGCTTGGGTAGAGTTATCTCTACAAAGGAGCACATATCCCATTTAGGCATACACCGAGCGAAAATTTCAAAAGAGGGAAGTTCAGAACAGGGTAGGTACTTTTATGGCCTTCCTCTCTGTAGTACTTGATCCCTTAGGAGGCTCAAGTTTGGGGCAACAGTTGAGAGTTTTGATATTTTAGTGCATCATTTCTTTTTAATCCATGCCATCTGCTTCCACAGAGTCTGCATTTTAATACACCAATCAATGCTGAGGGAAGCAAATTACACTTACTTGCACCACTGTTGATACTGGAATATAAATTATTACAAAAAATTGCACCTGTTTAGCAGAACAAGATGGTGGTTGTGATTAAGTTGGCAACCAAACTTTATACAACGTCTACAGTTCTTCCTTTCTCCTCCTATGGAGAGTATTATGAAAAAAAACCCCACACCAAACATGCCCCCAAGGATTATAAATCTTAAATGAGTAAAGCACTTGTAACAGGAATCCTGTGGCAGGAATATGTAGCAGGAATTAGGCAGGACCTGATCTAACTTCAGTCCAAATGTTCTGCCATCAACTCCAGCAATCAGCCATTAGGCCATTACTTCACAGTCAAAGGAGAACACTGTGAGAGGTAGCTTTGGCTCATATATTGAGCATGAATAATAAAGGTTGTAAAATAAACAATGAGTAATAAAGGGGAAAAACAATATTTAAATGTTATTGGTCACAGACAGGCTCTATTGCTCAGTTCTAAACAAATGTCCTTATTTTTTTGATTGGCTAGCTAACAACCAAAGGCACAATCATCTACATTTCAACACCCAAAAGATAAAACTATATTTGAATCAGCTACATGTCAGTCCAAAGGGTAACTGATTTGAGGTGATCTGGGAAAAGAATTACTAGACAGAAAGTGCACAAGAAATTTAGGAATTTTCCTTTTGTGGTATCTGTTCTCCTTTTATTTTCCCTCTTCTTTGTTTTTCTTTTAACACCCCCAGGTGAAATCCCAAATAGTCATTTTTAGTTGATACATTTTGGGTACTGATCACCTGTCCTGAATGTTTGTTTCCATTCAGATTGGTTTCCCTGATTATTTGTGTGGTAGCATCAAGTATCCTTGCGCCTGTCTCTATCATATTTTCCATACTTAGGGTACATTTACCAGGAGGTCTGTTTCATAGTTTAATGATAAAATTCAGAAAGAACCTTTTTGTAACCAAAAAGTGCCTCTGAAGCTTCTTTCAGTAATAAGACTAAATATACCAACTATGCAAGGTCTGTTATTAACATAATCAAAATGTTGAACAAACAGGTCTTCGCTTATCCTTGCAAATCCATCTATTCACAAGTTAGAAATTCCAGCCCTCCAGTTATTGGAAATAGCAGAAAACATGAAAATGCAAGACAAACTCAGAAAGATAATCTGGAGTAGTACCTAGAACAGAAGCCTGGGAAGTAGACTTTTGTAGTGCTGCTGAGCACTGACCTGCTGAGACTTTGAGCAAGTCACTTAATTTCTCTCTACCTCAGTTGATCCATCTTTAAAACAGGTATAATAAGAGCTGGGAACTCACCATAACTGTGACTTCTTTTCAACCTTTCTGACTTTTGGGGTTATTTAATCCACAGGAGCAACTGCACAGTAGATCTGGCAACCTTTTCTAGCTAACCGCCCTCCATGCTGGACTTGTGCTCCCAGAGCACAATGAAGATGCCACCTAGTTCTACAAAATGGGCTGTATGATTTGCACTCAAGTGCTGCATCTAGTCAAGCGCAGATGTTTGATTCCCTGGGGACAACTAGCAGCGGCATGCCTTGTGTTACTGCTACTTGTCTCTGGGGAATGCTCATGCCATGCATACTTTGACGCACGGCAGGTTACCCCGATGGGGTAAGGAGGCTGGGGCCAGCAACTGGACTGGCCCCATCAGCCTTACCTGGGGTCCTGGGGGAGTCAGGGAGTTGCAGCCATGGCTTTCCTGAAGCAGGGAGCCTGGCCAGCAGCGGGAGTATAACTCCTGCCTGGCAGGCTCCAGTTTTGGGTGGTGCATGCTGCTACCATGTGCGCCGCCCTGTTGGGTTTTTTTGACATGGTCACCCCACACCCCCTTTCCTCCCTGCGCTGCAGGGTAGCAGCACGAGGAACACCTGCATGTGTGGTGTGTGGCACCACATACCACACATCCATGCTCATCTGGACACAGCCAAGGTTCCAGACACAGGGGACACAGGAAAGAGATGGAAAGAAGAGCTCTGGGAAACTCTGAAGAGAACCTTGCAGTGTGCAGAAAAGTGTTCTTGGCTCCCAGGACAAGCACTGTACAAATGTCCAGATGGACAGTGAAATAGAATGGCATGGTAAACAAAAAAATTAGAAGTCACAAATTTTGATAAAACTTATGACTATCAAAATGTTAAGTGAATCACCCATGCTTTTTCCAAGAGCTTGCCTTATAAGGGTGTTGAGGCTTACCTGAAAAGTGCTTTAAGCTAAAAAAGTCGCTACATCAGTGCAACATACTATATTAAAATAAATCAATGACATGATAAGAACTTTGAAAATTTCTCTTCCTGCCTCTGTTCGCAAGCATATTCTAAAAGTTTCCAACATAGTATTCTTTCTTTCAGTTTCCTGAAGGCTTTCCCAGGACCTTCTACCATAATTGCTTTGAAATCCACAGTGATTACTGTAGACTCTTCTTAAAAGAATATCACAAAAATTAGTAATGCAGCTGTTTTTTCCATAGACTTAGGAGGAAGACATGACACCTTCTGATGTTTCTGAGCAGCAGAAATCTGCTTTAGATCCATGTCTTTTCTATTATGTAATCTAACTGTATAATATATTTTTAATCTTGCTTAAAAATAAGTGCATCAAACTGTATCAATATTTTAGAAGTTAGCAAATCTTGCACATGCAAAAAAGGAAGCTTAATCTTTGCTAATCTCTAATGCAAGACATATTTATTATTCATGAAGCTAGCAAAGGGGGAGCTGCTGTTGAATGGAATCCTAAATACTACACAATAGAAGCCCTGGGCAGCTAACACCATAGGTTTCCATTATTAAAGCTACTGGCCAATCTCCCTAGAGATTAACAGTGAAAGTCTTCAAAAAGTTTATACTTATTAAATGTGAACAGGATTAAACTAAAATATGAATGAATATCTTTATGTGAAAGTCCAGTTACTGCTCGCAGGCCATTATACTGTATCATTCCCATATTGACTTCCAACAGATCAGCATTTTCCCCTCCCATTTTAGCAGACTTTCTGTATCCAATTTTGCTTCTCTTAAATGCAAATAACCTGTGGCAATAGGATACCATGGTAGAGACTTTTACTCGAGACTGGGGAATTCCAGGCCTGAATCCAACAACGACTCTAGCTTTTCTCACTTTGGCATTTGTAGTGGCTTGTATTTTTGCCTTATATGATACTAACTTTTATGCCCATAATGCTTGCAAATGACACGAGTCCCAACTACAATGTACTGAAAGCCAAGCTTAATAAGTACTATTTGTTTCTATGGCAAATGAAGAAAACTATATGTATATATATCCTGTATCTTAGTTGGGGAATGTGATGATGAGGGTGAGATCTTTTTCCCGTCCATCCAGGGGATATGCCCAATCTAAAACTAAGACCTATTTTTGGTCTTCTCTTCCAGGCCTTTTTTGTTTCTATTTTTGTTATATTCTCATTTCGGCTCTATTCGCTGTACTGAGTCAACATATGAGAGAGTTTTCACATTTGTCATTTGTTTGTCTTTCTAGATGCTTATTAGATATCAGTATGGGGTGACTGATGGTCTCTTAAAATCTAGTAGATATATTCCATATGGTATGGCTTTATAGAGATGCCTTTAATAATATGCACACATAATTTTCACGTTCAAAGTGCTTTACAAATATTTAGATATCAAGTATTCTTCTTGTTTTACAGATGAAGCATAGAAGTGACTTGCCCATCGCTACAAAAGGGATCCAAATCTGAGATTAAAATGGGTTCTCCTAGTTCTGTGCTCAGAACACACCTTGTTCGCTTGTCTGATTACTTTTAAATCTTCCTGAGTGACTTTTATCCAGTATGGAGGGGGTAAAAATCTGGGACACCATTTAAAGTATTGTTCTTCATTCTCTCTGCTCAGTTTTCTTTCATAGTCATGTGCACTGAGCAGAGAACACCTAAAAAAACCAAAAAAACTCCCAAAGGGTTGAACAAGGGCACACTGTAAAGAGTAAAGACTACTTTGCTACTCCATCTAAAACCAGCTGGAGACCTTTTCAAAAATAGGCCGAGAAGGAAGTGACTGCTGCCTGCCAAAGGAAGAGCTAATTTAAGGATTTGAATTATCTGGAGTATTTTGCCTACTGCTTAAAAAGAATTCCTTCACATGGCTCTTGCACTTTCTTATGTAAAAATTCACAACACAGAGAGGCATATATGTGATAGAAAATGTTTTCATACCCCTGCAGTTCTGAAGTGTTCCAGCTTTCTAAGAACTGGGAAATCTTTTGTTCTTTGGGAAAATATGTTTCCCCATTCCGCTCTTGTCTCATTTACTAAGAGACAGCTGAAGATTAGAACTTTAAAGGATTAAGATAAGAATGATAACTATATGAAGAGGAGTAAGATGCTAATAAATTGTTGGGTTTTTTTTAATATGTTCAGTAGATTTTTGTCTTTGGATCCTGACTTGTTAAATTCTTAATTCTTTGTCTTAACTATATAGCAAAACCAATGAATTTATTGGTGATAAGAACACAAAGCATAAATCTGTTTCTCACAATCCAGGTATAGCAGAGCTATATTTTAACAGAGCAAAGTTTTGATGAGCAAAATTTTAACAGTTGCCAGAGTTAAAACCTTTTTTTTTTAAATTGTTGTGCCCTCTAGTTCTCCTTTATGAACTATTTAATTAATACTGAATTCAATAAAAATTTCAGTTTAAAAACATTCTGATTTTTTTGTTTTTTAAACATCAGAAGTATCAGAGGATCCTGGTAATATTTTAGGCGAACTGGATGGTGACCTTCTAGGATGCTGTTCCCTGATCCAGACTTCATCCAAGCTAAAACTGAGTGGATGCAGAATTCAACTTTTCATACAGTTTAAGAATGGTGAGTTACAGAATCTAGGTCAAGGGGATGTGCCAGTGGAACAGTGTCCCAGAGGAGATCAAGTGAATCCAGAATCTGACCATCTTTAGGAATTGTTGCAAATCCTTCCTCTTTGAGAGAGCCTTTCTGCCATGAGTGATTCTCACAATAAAAATGCCCCTTCTACTCCCAAATTCTAACTCTCAACCCCCTAAGCCTCCTACCCGCTGCAGACTTTTGATCCTGGAAAGGGAGATATGCAGAAGACTGTAGAAGGTCCTCTAGGGCTTGAGTGACCAACTCATAAGTGGTACGGGCAGCCTATGTGGTACGTGGCAGATTGAGAAGGGAACAGGGAGAACATTGGCAGATAGGGCAGGGAGCAAAAAGCAGAGTAGGAGATCAGGTGGAGGCACAGGTTAGAGAACAGAATGCAGAGCAACATATTGAGCAGGGGGAGGAGATGAGAGTGGCAACTGAGGAGGTTGCAGGGTTTAGCTTGTGGCATATCTGCTCTAGGGACTTTGCTATTGATACTGGTTTTATGGAGAAGGCTTTCAGATGCTCCAGGATACAACTTCAAACTTGACAGATAATATTTAAGACACTGAAAACTCCTTTGCACCTGAGCTCCTTTACTCATACAATAATCGCACTGGAAAGATATTTCACATGAGCAAAGTTATACATGGACATCAGTCTGGGTAAAATCATGGCCTCGGATATCTGCAGCTCAAGTTTCAGTCTGTGGTCACAAAATGTACCTCCCAAAGCCTTCCTCTGAATTCTTCAGCAAAAAAAAGTTAGGTCAGAAGTTGATATTTCTAATGTGAGAAAAAATAATAAATAATTTCTGGGATTGTATTTACATACCATAAAGTAGCAGGAAAAGGTTCAACGCTCATTTCCGCTCCTTTAAGGCACTTCTAAAAGCAAATTTAAAACTGCATTATGGCTAGAAATATGTTTCTAAAAACTGATTATATTCCTTGCTCAGCTATATTGACATGATTTCAGATATATTGCATTTCCCTTTGTTGTTACTTTTTAAAAATTTGTGCATTTCCATCCTTACCTTTAAGTGTAAACCCTAAGGGCACCAGTGGGCATATCTACAGTAAGGCATTGTAGGTATGGCACATTAAGTTTAGTACCTGTAATAACAGGTACTAACTGAATGTACAGTAACCACAGCTACTGTGCAGCAGCACTGACGCACACCTTTTTAGTGACACTAATGTGCAGTAGACTAATTCTACTGCGCATTGGCACAATAGTATGGCTTTTGTCATGACGCACTAATATGCGGGAGAATTAATCTACTGCATATTTAGTGTCTTGTGTAAACACGCCCAGTGAGTGGTAGAATTAGAAAGCAGTTGAAGATGGGATTTGGGGTATTCACATCTCTTTTATGCATCATTAAGTGGTGACTCCCTGTGCACTTAATGTACCTCTTACTACTATATGAGAAATTCAAATGAAAGAAATCAGATTGCTGCAATGTATTGACTTGTGGCTGTAAATGAGACTGTAGCCACTAGCAGCAGAGAAGGCCTGAAATGAACTGGAGTTTTTGAAGATTCATAGGGAACACATACAAAGGCATCAAAGCTGGCAGGAAAAAAATTAACAGCTTAGGGAAGAAAACTGGCTTTTAAGACGATACTGAATACTGCAAAATGATACATGGCCTACAGAGGATAAAAAATAATGAAGAACAGCAGGGACTGCAATAAAACCTGATTGAAATGACTGAACCATGCAAGCAAGTTGGTACAGTGCTAGCCACCAACACTTCTGGTAATTAAGTAACAATGGATGTTCAGATATTGGCTAAAAGTGGGGTGATTTATTGCTTAATGTTCTGTTATACTATTGTTTACTCGTCAGCAAATGACCATCCTATTAAAGTAGTCAAATCACAGATTCATTAACTCACTTTTACAGCAAAATCATAAAGCATCCCCTGGCAATCTTTTAATGATTTGTTGTGTGACAGAATAGAGGCTAGGAAAAATGGAAGCCTGAGGCATTTGTGAAATTATACCAGGCCTAAACCTGTAACTGTGCTCTTAGTCCCATTAAAGATTACAGACCTTCCATGGGTCAAATGTGTGTCAAGACAATGAAACCTTTTTTCCAAGCTGTGGATGATGTGGCATTTTATTCTCCTGTGTGTATATAGACTGTTATTTGGTTCCAAGCATTGATATAGGCGGAGGTAATCAGAAAATCCAGAGGTAATTCCAGGGTGCTGTGGCACCTGAGGGTACCTTGAGATCCTTTCAAGGGCACTGAAAGGTTCCAAGCAATGTTAGCGCTGTGGGTGTGCAAACATTTTACAATATAAGCCCAGAGTTTTCAAAGAGGAATCCATAGCATTAAAAACATTCTGTAGTTGCTTTCCTGAGCACTTCACAACAGGAGAATTATGCTATTATTTTTCTGCAGTAAAGAAAAAAAGAGTGAAAACAAAAACCTGGCATTTTTCAGGGGTGCTTTGAGTCTAAAAAGATTGAGAGCCACTGATGTACAGTCCTAAGTAACTATTATAGTGTTTGAAGAAAAATATTAGATATTGTGAAGTTGATTTCTATCTCTCTTCCACCAGTGTAATTCCAGTGACTTCAGTGGAGCGACTCCTGTTTTACTTCCATTTAAGGAAAATTAAACCTTACATGACACAGCCTGTAGCATGGCAGCCTATTTCTAACTATGACTAAAATAAGAATCTCTACAAAAGAGGTATATATTGCTAATATTTTTTTAAAATTTAAAACAGTAAAAGAACTGCTCTCTTTAGGTCTTTTACTTTTCTAATTGATGACATACTGTATCTGTCTATGTGCATGTGTGTTTGGAGCACAACTAGACTAGTTTTAATTTAGCTTGTGCAAGTAATAATACCAGTGAAGATGTGGTGACACAGGCAGAGGCAGATCCAGGTTTTTAAAAGGGGGGGGGGGTGCAGGAACACTGACCACCACCACTGCAGGGTGGTTCCATCCCCTATTCCAGTCTCCTCCCTCACCAAGGCAGGCAGATAATGCTGCAGAAGCAGCAGATGGGGACCCCTTTTCAAATGCCCAGCTTGAAGCAGGTAAAAATTCCACCCTCCCCTGTCCTTTGTGCTCAGTGGCACATCCCTCCCTTCCCTTCCCATTCTTTCCTTCCTAGGCTTGCCACTTCCACTGTCCCTGGCTGACCTGGGAGTGGGGAGAGCCCCAGAGACCTCTCTGTTTACACCTCTGGACCCTCCTGCTGCTGCTCCTGGCCCACCCAGCCAGGGCTGTGGGGAGACTGTGCAGGGAACCACACTTGGTCAGAAACAGTGACAATGGCAGGGGTGGTGGCTGCAGGCAGGTTGCTCCTTCCCACTCCTGGGCTGGTGGGGAGCACTCATGGGGGACTGGGTGGGAAGAACACAACTGCCTTCTGCCAGTCCTTGATCAGCCAGTAGCTGTGGAATCTGGGAGAGCAGGGGGATATACCACTGAACATGGAAAGGAACAGGGTGGGAGTCTTACCAGTTTAGGGGTCTTCAAAGTCCCTGACTGCTGCTCACATTTCCTTCCTATCTCAGGTCTCTCCCATTATACCTGAATGGAAATTATTTTAGCGCCTACATTTGATAACCTGTTGCTTTGCTTGCATGTTTTATTTTTGGAAAGGTTTATTAAGCTAAGTTGGAAAGGTGGGATATAGAACAGTTGCCACAATGCATTCAGCTGTGGGTCCAATCTTGAAAATATTTTATACATGCAGCTTCACTCCTGGGGGACAAATCTACTCATGTGACTAATCATTCCTTCACAGGATTAGGCCCTGAAATCGTAATGTGCTCTGCAAGGTCGCACTATGTGTTCTGCACACTGTTTTTAGCACTAAAAAAAGACACTTTGATTGTTTGACAGCACTCAGCTATTCAGCTGAGATATTACTCTCAAAGCAATGTATTATCCTTCAGAATATTAATCAAGACGTGTGTATACTTTCTCTTTTGAAATGAAGGGTGCAACTTTTGCCTGAAGGAGTCACTAAGGCCACTACCGTCTCCTCATTCAAATCATTTATCAAAAGTCATTTCTTCCTTGATGCATGTAAGAAACTAGTTAGCTAATAATAGCTCAGTAAAGGCGTTGTGCAGAATAGTTAGAGCTCTATCTATATAAATATACCTCTCCTTCACTCTTCTTCCAAAGCTACCAATTTTGAGCTTTGGAGGGCAGGACCCATAACTAAAATCTTGCCCTCACTAAAGATAGCAGCTAAATTTTGTCTCCCCCACTGTCTTTCTGTATGTGTAGAAAGCACTCTGCATGTTTGGGGGCGGGGTCCACAAAATCAGATGCTATTGAAGAAACATGGGGAAATTCAACTGATTCCTTATAACCTAAGTAGGTGTCAGCCATGGAAAAAAAACAGAAAAGACACAATGATGGTTACTGAAAACAAGGACAGGAATTGCCAATGAAACCTTAGCCCAAGGGTGCTTAAACTGTAAGCCATGGGTCAAATGAAGGGCATGGTTTTATAATGTAGCTTGCATCAGCTGTATTTTTGTTGTAGTGGGTGTGGCTTCCGTGATGGCTGCCAAAAATTAACAAGCAGAAAACCTCAAAATATTTCCTTCTCGATTTACTATGTCTAATATATGTGACATTCTAGTCTCTCCTAGTAATATAAAAGGTCTTAATCCACACTTGTAGCTAGTCTGTTTCAGTAACATTCCTGGGTTAAAATTGTCTTCAGTCCTTTAAAACAGTAATCTATAGTTTTACATCCTCCCTCATGGATTCCATATACTCCCTTACCTAAACCTATCAGGTCCTTCCATACTCAAATGGCTCATCCTAATTCCTCCTACTTCAGAATTTCAGATGCTCCTCTGGGTGGCTACCCTAGCTGGCAGCTATTCCTTGTTGAAACACTGGTGACTGTCTCTGGCCAGGGAATGTTAGTGAGAAGAAGTGTGTCCCCCCTGATGTTGACATTAGTGTGGGAGATGGGTCTATTTCAGTTCTTTAGTTGTTGGGTCACTCCTTTGATGACGGGGAGGCTGCGCGTGGGCGAAGGCAGGCTGCCGCTGTGGGCTGGGGCGGGGAGGCTCTTCTTGGCAGGGGGGCTGTGCTGTGCTGCGTTGCACTCAGGGCAGCAGCACTGGGAGGGGGGCTGTGGGGGCTACGGTGAATTTTTGGGTGGCTGAAGCCCCGCCCAGTAGCCCCACTCCCAGTGCCACTGCCACCACCTGGCCCAAGCACAGCCTGACCCAACACCTCCGCCAGGCAGAGCCCAGCACTGCCCCAGCCCCAGCTTGCAGCGGCAGCCCACCCCACCCTGCCTGCAGGTCTGGGAGCACATGCCCCCCATGCCCTCCTGGGGTACAGTCCCCCCCTCCCTGTGCCCCTGGATGAGCCACTCATGGCTCTGTCCTGCACCCCACCTTGGCTGTGCAGCACCTGCTCCTGCCCCACTCCCTCCCTCACTGGCACAGCAGCCTTCTGTGCTGCCCCGTGTTTGGGAGGCAAGTGCACTCCCCCGATCTGTGTGCAGGGTGGAGGCAGCTGCCATTGCGCTCTGGGCTTTGCACCCTGAGTCCCACTGCAGCTGGCCTGGAAGTGGCTTGACACCATATGTGTCCTGTCGCTGGGCTGAGCCTTGTCCCCTGCCCATGTGGCAGCGGGATGCGTGTGGCATCATGCCACTCCTGGGCCAGCTGCAATGGGGCTTGGGGTACAAAGCCCAATGTACAATGGCAGATGCCTCTGCTGTGCACAGATTGGGGGCATGTGCCCCCCCAGGCTCTCCCCAGGGTGCGCACAGTGGCGAGAGTCCCTGCACACCTGGATGAGCCACCTGGGCTCAATTCTCCTGCCATCCATCCAGTTGGAGCCCCACTCACCTTACCCCAGTTCCTGCCTGTGCCACACTCTGTCCCTCACCACGGGGACCTCGATCTGGCCCCTGCCCCTTCCCTCACCGACAGATTGACCTGCTCATACACTCACGTCCCCGAGCCTCAGATCTATTGGAAGAGGCTCTGTGATCGACCATTCAATCGTGATCGACTGGTTGGGGACCACTGACCTATGGTGTGTATACATTAGCCAGGAGGCTGCTCTGACGCATTGTAATTACAGCACAGAGTGTGGTAATTATCATGCTCCAGCCAGCCTCTGCGTCTTGTGTATCAGCATCCTTACGCTTAAAATGCCAATGAGGGCACTTTATTTAAAGCTCATTTGAGCATGTGTAAAAATACCCCTAGATACCTAACTCTGCCTAAACTGCTTTACAGTTTAAATTAGGCACCATTGGGTACATTTACATGCGCAATTAATGCGAAGCAATAAACTCCAGTCCATATCACACTGGCACTCACTGTTCCCAGGCTCTGCATTTACACATGTGCCTGGGACCACAGCACTATGAGTTGTGTTGGAGCAGCCCTGACTGATAGAGGGCCTAAGGGGTCAGCTTGCCAGCCTGTGGCTGCTCACTCTGGCTCAATGTGCTGTGGAGGGGCTGGTTGGGGCATGAGGGTACTTCAGTGTGGGGCTAGCCAACTCTGGCCAGCTAGGTTCTGGTTTTGTGCGGTGTGTGCTGTCCCCACTTTTTTTTACGCTGTTTTCTTAGACCCCTGGATATCCCTTCTTCTGCTCCTGCCATCCTGTTCCCTTGCAGCACAGAGAACAGTTGAAAGTTGTGCCACAGACATGTCTGCAGCACCACATACTGCATGGCCATGCTCATCTGGACGCAGCCCTATTGACTGTATCAAAACTTCAGGGGACAGAGAGTTTGGTGTCAGAAAGATAGTTGGTTGCCAAGGTTCCCTCCAAGTTGTGTGCATGCGTGGCCGTGCATGCTTTTAAATCATGCCGCACACAAACGTATTAATGTCGCGCACCTGCCTGGAGAGGAGCTGAACAACGAGCTGGGTGTGGAGTGTGGTGGAGGCACTGGGGCCACTGTGGGACACTTACCAGAGGTCAGGCAGCGGCTCCTCCCTGAGGCCACGTACTTCTGGAGGCAAGGTGAGGATGGGGGCTGGGGCTGGGGGCTGGCACCGGGGAACTGCTCCACTTCCCAGCCCTGACATCACGTGCCTCCTTGCTCCCAGAGGTGAGGTGGGTGCTGGCATGGGCTCTACCAGTGCCAGGAAACTGCTCTGCTTCCCAGCCCCAACGGCATGTGCCTCCTTGCTCCCAGAGGCATGGCGAAGCAGGGATAGGGGCTGAGGGCTGGCGTGGACTCTGCTGGCTCTGGGGAACTGCTCTGCACCCCTGCATCACCTCATGGAGCGAGGAGGCACATGGCATCAGTACTGGGGAGTGGAGCAGTTCCCCAGAACCAGGAGAGCCCGTGGAGCAGATCCCCTGCACTAGAGGAACCTGAGCCAGCCCCCATCCTCGCCCCTACCTCGCCTCACCTTGGGGAGGAGCCGCTGCCTGCCTCACATGAGGACTGAGGAGCTTACCTTTGGTAAGTGTCCCATGGCGGCCCTGGTGCCTCTCTTCCAGGGCTGCCCCACAGCACTCCACTGTGCTGCTCTGGACAGCAGTTAGCATGGAGAAGAGTGGTGGGTGGGGCACACAGTGCTCCACATAGGGCTGAACCCTGCCCACTCCCACCTGGACATTTACTGCGGGACGCTTACTGGTGGACTGTGCCGAAAGGGGGAGGTGG